CCTTTCGGGATGTGGGTCTGGCTTACCAAGTTGACCTACTTCAGAGAAAGATGTTTGGGCAAAGGGCGGAGGAAAAACAATCCTTGTATTTACATCCTGAAAAGGATCAAAATGATGTTACTTCTGGTGAGACTGACCCTGTTACAGGCATACAAAGCTGGCTGTCTTTGGGACAACACCGAAAGTAAGACATGCTGGGAATTTGGCAAATCATGGTGAGAAGACCCGTTTTTGAGCCCTCGCCAACTCCAAAAGGAGGGGGAAAGTCAACAGCATGTAGTATTTTTGAAGGGATGGCATTGATGTTTGGGGGACAGGAGGAAGCAATAATGCAAATCTTAAAGTACATGGTGGGCAGAGGACTTTGGACGAGTTAATGGTGGTGTTGGGTGGATAGTGAGATAAAACTACTGAGTGTCTCATGACATTTGTGACTGCGTGAAAGCACTGAGGGCCGTTGAAAGGAAAGGAATTGAAATCAAGATATCCCTTCTCATCTCTCTGCTTGTACTAGCACCCTTCCTTGTGGGTGAAGAATTTATAAGAGGATGTGTTTTCTATTTTTTTCCTCCATAAACATGTACACTTTTAAAAAATTGTGATTAAAAAAGTTACACATGTATATATGGCGGTGGTACAATGGAAAACTAGACTGTGGGACCCCTTCATGCTACAAACACATACAAATACAGGATTATAGGCGTGTATGCACACACATGCCTGCACAACGCACAACCAAGAACTCCTTAGGTGCCAGAAACAGAGGGGACTGGGATATTCTCGTGGTATGTTTCAGCTGAGGTGCCTATGGGGATGGAGGCAGTAGGGGTGGAGCCTGGGGCTTTAACATCCACATGGGGCCCCTAAACTGTGCAAGGAGAGAGGAAAATGATACCACTGCATAAATCTGCTGTAGACAGTCAATGAGGACATGAAAAGGAGATTAGAAAAATCTGTCCATCAACACAAAGGAAGTATAAGGAGCTTGCCGTTCGTTTGAAGCTGAGTGGGAAATTAAAACGCAAATGAGCATGGAGGTCTAAACGTATATTACTTAAATGGGGAAGTAATGATAGTAAAATTTATTTTATACAAAAACTGGTACATTGAAAGCCCCTGGAGCCATGGCAGAAATAAGCCCAGAACCTCTCTGTAGGGACATTTCTGTAGCTCAGTATTCTTGGGAGCTCCAGGAGGTTTGGGGGGGGCAAATAGCTCTGCTGAAGATTAGCCCATAATCAAAAGTTACAAATATCACAAGGAAGTGATCCACCATGAGAGTCAGCACACGCAGCAAACAGAAGAATGAGAATCCCAAGGACTAAGATAGCAGGGAGAGGATGCAGGGCTGAGAGTAATCAGAGAGACTGGAGGTTTGAAATTATTAAATGTATAAAAGTTTTAAAAATTATAACAGAAGAGTGTAATGTTATGATTAAAAAAACAGTAGAATTTTAAAAGAGCCAGATGAATGTCACACAATTAAAATAGATTAAAAATTAAAACATAAAGCCAAATATTACTAATGAATGAACAAATGAGCTGGAAAATAGATCTGTGGGATTCATCTAACTGCAGGGCAGAACAATAAAGGAATGGAAAATATGAAAACAAGGTTAATAACCTAGAGGATAGAATGAGAAGGTCTAGAATATTTTTAACAAAATTTTCAGAAGGGAAAAACAAGATAGGGTTATCATGTGTCATTAGGGAAATGCAAATGAAAACAATGTGATACCAGTACACACCTGATTGGAATGGTCCAAATCCAAAGCACTGACCACACTAACCAGCGCTGGTGAGGCTGTGTCATGTGAACAGGAACCTCGTTCTTTGCTGGTGAAAATGTAGAATGGTACAGTCACTTTGGAAGACTGTTGGCATGTTCCTACAGGTTAAACACAGGCTTATCACACAATCCAGCAGTGATGCCCCTAGGTGCTTGCCCAGATGAGTCAAAAACTTACATCTGCACAAAAACCTGCACATGAATGTTTATAGAAGCTTTAGTCATAATTACGCCACGGTGGAAGCAACCGTGCTGTCCTTCAATAGGTGGATGGGTAAACAAACCACACATCCATGCAATGGAATATGGTTCAGTGATAAAAGGAAAAGATCTATCAAGTCGTGGAAAAATACAGAGTAACCTTAAATGCATCTTGTTAAGAGAAAGAAGTCTGTCTGAATAGGCTATAGACTATATGTTCCCAGCTATATGATGTTCTGGAAAAGGCAAAACTATAGAGACAGTTAAAAGGTCAGTGGTCGCCAGGAGTTGGAATGCAGGGTGGGAAGGGATAAAGAGTTGGAGCACGGGGGGTTTTTAGGGCAGTGAAACTATTCTGTATGATACTGTAACGGTGGACACATGACATTAAGCATTGGCAAAACGCACAGGACTGTACAGCACAAAGATTGAACCCTAATGTCAACTATGGGCTTTAGTTAATAATAATGTATTTGGTTCATAAATTATAAAAATATACCACACCAATGCCAGATGTTAGTAGGGAAAACAAAGGGATACGGGAAGAGGGAGTATATGGGAACTCTGTACTTTCTGCTCAGTTTTTCTCTAAATCTAAAACTATTCTAAAAAATAAAGTCTATTAATTTACTAAGATGAGGAGAGTTAATAGTCAAAGCAACAATGGGTGAAATTTTTCCAGAATTAAAGTTACGAGTTATCAGGTTGACAAAAGTCACACTGAGTCCAGAGAAGAACAAATAGAACACATCCACACCTAGATCCCACACCAGAGACACAACGAAATTCTCAAAAGTGATTAGAAAAAAAATAGATTGCACAGTAATGACAAATAGATTATGAACTGACTTCTCAACAATTACAATCTAGATCAGAAGGACACTTAATCACGTCTTCAAAAGGTCAAGGAAAAATAATTGTCACCTTAAATTTCTATGCCCAGCCAAATCATTCAAGAGTGACAACAAGTCAAAAGCAATACACACAAATTTCACAGAACTGAAACAAGAGAGCAGTGTGAAAGCAGTAATTATGATTAATCTCTTCAAAAGAAAATCAAACATCTTGAGTATAGTTGGAGTATAGTTGGGGTACAATGTTATATTCGTTTAAGGTGTACAACATTGAGATTCAATATTTTTATAGATCATCCTCTGCTTAAAGTTACTGCAAAACAATGTCTGTGTTTCCCTATGCTGTGCAATATATCCTTGTTTTTGTATATTTTATACATAGTGGTTCCTATCTCTTAATCTCATACCTCTATCCTTTATATCATCTTAGAGATTATATGTGTGTACAGTGTAGTCACACTATTCATTTAATGCTATCTGCATTTTTCTTGATTTTCACTGTTCTTGAAGGATAATTGTTAAAGGCTGAATCATACTGTAAGTGCTGTAGTTTAGTGAATTGCTAGACAGCATAATTGCTAGACATTTAGACCAAAGAATTTCCTCTTAAATGGCAAGTGGATAGAATGCATGTAAAAGAGAGACAAATAACACCAACCATGCCTACTTTTTTTTCCCAATGAAAATCCACCTGCTTCTTTAATTGCCTGCCGAAGTGGGGAGGTATTTAGTTTGCAAGGGGCCATTCGGAGCCAATGGGGACATTTCTTTCCAATGAACACTTTGTGCCCTAAGTGCACTGTTTGAGGTGACTTTTAGGAGTAATCCTGAATGTTCTAAAGGAAGAGGAAAGAAGCAGCTAGTATATTTGAAGACGACCGTGTACAAGGCACTTTGCTAGGCACTTCCTTCACAACAGCTCTTACTTAGGAGAACTCAGCATGAGCCACGCACTGCATTTAGGAATTGTGCACGTGTCCTCCCTAGAACTCAGGGAAGTGTACACTATCATTATACCCATTTCACAGACTGGGTAACTGTGGCTCTGAAGTCACACAGCTAGTAAATGATGAAGTCATAATTAGAATGTGAATCTTTCTAAATAACCTGCTGCCAGTTTATCCCGTGTCCAGTTCTAGGCTTGGGTAGATGTTGGGGGTGGGGATAGAGGAAAGCAGGGTGGGAAGAACATAATAATTATGACCAAACAAAGAAAAACAGGGATGTATCAACTTCTCCCTATCCATGATCTCATCTCATCCTCCGATCCTGCGTAATACTGTTGTCATCCTCATCTTCACCCAGCAAGGGAGTGCACGCAGACCAGTCCACTTGCCTCGAGGTGGCACCGAACACGGGGGCGTCCGCCCCGTGGTGCCTGCCCCGCCCCTCACTGCCTGTGGCTCTTGTCTCCTGTCCAGGTGAGATGGAGGAGCTGGAGACCCTGTGGCTCACGGGGATCTGCCACAACGAGAAGAACGAGGTGATGAGCAGCCAGCTGGACGTTGACAACATGGCGGGCGTCTTCTACATGCTGGCGGCCGCCATGGCCCTCAGCCTCATCACCTTCATCTGGGAGCACCTCTTCTACTGGAAGCTGCGCTTCTGCTTCACAGGCGTGTGCTCCGACCGGCCGGGCCTGCTCTTCTCCATCAGCAGGGTCAGTACCCCGGGCAGACGCTTCCCTCTGTGGCGTGCAGGTCCAGAAAGGCATGGGGCTCTCAGAGAGTCAGGGATTCTTGACTCCGGGAGCGGGGAAAGGGGCTGCACATCCTCCCCTCACTCCTCACCCCTTCCTGGACTTTCCGGAAGCGCAGCCAGATTCTGTGTGTTCGTAAGCCAGATGATTGTGTGAGCCAGAGAGGGAGGGGGGATGGGTAAGGCAGACCGGGCGGGAGGGAAGTAGCACAGGTGAAATGAAAAACAGCAGCTGAACCTGGGTGTCAAGGGAACAGCGGAAGATGCTGAGGACTGTGACGCATTGCATAATACCCTCCACACCTAAAGAGGGCAGCTGTCCTCAGCTCCTGCTGAGTGTCCTCTTAGAGGGGTGCCGGCATAAAGACTGCAGGGAATGCAGTCTTATCAGGTCCTCCAGTTTGCAAAAGAGAAATTGGTCACCTGATTATATATGAAACCTTTCCATTTTTAAATATTCATAACTAATTCCATTGAAAAAACAGAAAAACACCAAAACACCATCTGGGCCAAACACAGCCAGTCTGTGGCCTCCCTCACAAGCCCTCAGATTTGCTACACACCATTACAATTCCTGTGCAGGAGGTCACGATGTTTGCATGCGTTCCCACAGACCATGTGTGACAAAACAGAACCTACATGCAAAGCCATATTGTGTGTGTGTGTATGTGTGTGCATCTACCACATCATAGGTGCGTGTGTGATGCAACAGAGCCTGAAGTGAAACACAGGCAGGAAGAACCATGAGAAAATGCACACACATCAAACAGGAAGCAGTTGAACCCGACACAAACGACAGCCCGGAACACACATGCTCTAGTGAGTGGACTCACGTGCGAGCCACTGCACTACATGGCACGTGTGTGTTGCAGGGA